TGCGGATTTGGCGATCTTAAAATTTGGTGCGGGTTTCCGATGAATGCCGAAGTTTCTTCGGTCACATAACTTTTTAGAAAATTGCCTTAAAAACTCACTTTACCATCGAAAAACCGCGTTCTAACGTAGCGGAATGTATTCGGGACATCCAGAATGGGCCCCAGCTCGATTCGCGTGAGAATACGTGGCACGGTTTCGGAGGAGATACGGAAAACGACACTTCGGCTCTTTCTACTATTATATAGTAGATATGTTCTTTCCTCAGTCTGGATACAGTTGCATTACTTCTGCATCTATGCTTACATTGCTATATATTAATACATATAGCAAGACAACATTATATAGTTCTTACACCTATATGCATGTTTCACTCGTTATACTTTATTCCTTACAATATTTCTGCATTTTACATTCGTTACATATTCCACACATGCTTCTGTTCATACAATCATTAACTTGCATTTCTTAACATTTCTATATCTTTAACATACATCACATTATATAGCGATATATTTATATTCTATATTCATATTTATATCAACATCATTCCTTCACTCCCGATATACTTCCATTATTATTACACACATGGTTACGTCATCAACATATATACTCATACACCTTATATAGTGACTACATGTCTTTCCATGTATCCCTTATTTACACTGTACTGTTGTCGCCAATCAAATTTGCGTACATCATTCTTTGCTGCCCGTACATTTCGCGATACATAAACTCGTCAAGGACCGCTGGTAACATAGTCTTCGCGACGCCTTTCATGCGCTTTATCCTCGCCTTCGCCGTACTCCATAAACCTTCAATGGTGTTGGTACAAACACCTTCTGAAATGAACTCTTTCTTGTGGCATACGGTTTTGTGACTATACCCCATTTCGCCTAAACACTTATAACTTGCAAACTCGTGAGAGTAAATCGTACTGCCGACTTTCACGTGCCTTTCTATGAGCGGAATCAACGTCGTACGTTTCCTATCCTTCACAATGTACACGACGCATTTCTTTGTGTGTCGCTCCACGATTCCGAAAACCCTTTGGTCTGCTGCGGGAGCCTTGCCGCAATGGTATTTCCTTTTCTTGTGAAATAAACTTTCGTCTATTTCGATCACCAGGATCAGGTTTTCTCCGTTGGGTAGCAAACTGTCAGTGAAAACGACTGGATCTCGCTGGAGCTCGGCGGATATGATACTGCTGGAAGGTCATGGCATGCAAGCTTTGCATTATGACTGGCTCAATCTTGTTTGCCAGGGCCTCAGCGTTCTGCAGAACAGACCAATAGACAGTATAAGTTAATAGTATTTGGGTTATTTATTTAGTATAAATCATGTATAATGTCGGTAACATGAAGTTAAGAACTAGAATATATTCCGACTTGTTGAAGTGACAGACACATGTAATAGTATGCACGAACAATTAATATACCAACACACATCGCGTCAACTTCTTTGCTTCTTTTAAAGGTTTAGAAAAACAGGTCTTTCATGGCCTATTAATACAATTATATATTACAACCAAACTTCACTACGGGAAATTATTATCGAAGTATGCTATGAGTCAGAAGTGCCTTACTTTTTCTAGCTCTACCATCAAGGTCAAGACACCACAGCTATGAATGCTGGGAAGTGACACTGCGGTCCATCCATCCAGCTGTTCTGGGCGAGCCATCATGCAATGCCTATAACATTATCCACTATTAGCCATTTTAAACTTTTGTAGGACAGCCTTTAGCGAGATATCGATTAAATTGTTCTTCTCTTCAACCTCACACTTTAGAATCTCAATATGAAAAGCGGGGTTTCCACATTTTGATAAACTGATATCCAGGAAACAAGTATTTCGTATGTGTCAACTAATAGAATACTAATGTCAAAACCGGCTTATTTCACATCTCTCTTCGTATTTACGCCGCTGTTTATCAGGAATCTACTTACTGCCAGTCTGCTAGGAACTCTTGCCCACGATTGTCATGCCCCAATGAGTCCAGGACTCCCAATGTGCGGGCATCCACATCGGCAACGAGAAGGGCCCAGTGGCCTGGAGAGTGCACGGGCATCAGGATGTACTGGTAGCTTGCAAAGCAAACCTATGGAAGAGAATAAGAACACATAAGCTGATAAGAGCTTGCATTACAATAAATGAAGTAATTTGCACAATGTGAATGCTTGGTCATGGCTACTAATGAGGGACAAATACATGGATTATTATGCCCTAGGCTGTAGCATGGTAACAGAAAGACACTTGTATGATAAGCAATTTTAAGGAATTGTTTTACTGTATCTTTTCTTTTGCTTGCTTTGAATATTGACAAGGTCTCACCAGAACTTGGAATGAACGATTGTCCATGATACTTCTTGTTTAACTCGGTTAAATAAAATTGCCATTGGATTAATAAAAGGTGGTAGATATAAATTGGTGCTATTGTGGGATTTTACGAGAACCAAAATGACAATATAGTCTACCTTTTAAAAAAAGCCATCCCTTTACTGCTGTCCGCCATTTCAGGGCCAAGAAACAGGGTAGCAGGTATAAGACTTTGGTCTGTTGCTCCTGCTTGAGGACTTCCATGTAGGCATGTATGACCTATGGCAAAAAGTGGCAATTATTAAATATCCAGTTGCATTATCATTCCACATATTCTTAGCGATAAAAAGCGTGCACTTACATTGTCAGTCAGCCAGCCGTGGCCTTCAAGCGACCGGAAGTCCTGTGGGTTCAGCGTGATGCTTCCTATACGTACACTGTTCGACGACTGGTCCTGCCATGGGGACAGCCGTCGATACTGGCGAACGGTGAGGCTTTAGTTGCCCATATGGTACCCGTGTCTTCAGGGTGTACCCCTCTAGAGTAACAAGTGTCACTCTTTGGGTACCATCAATATCACTGATTCTAAGAAAAACATGAAATTTGAGAATTGAGAATTAGAATTGTGCATTAGTGTTATATTAGTTATTATGCGCATTGTAGTTATTATTATGTATAAATGTTTACGATCCTTACTCGAAGTGACCACTCCAACTCGCCTCCATCTTTCCACCTTTTCGCCCCTGCTTTCTCATGTTCTTTCTCAACACGTGGTCTCCTTTCTTGAAAAAGAAGTATTTCACGCCCTTTGCCTTCCTGGCCGCATATGTCTGCTTCTGACTGTCGCGTGCTTTTGTGCTGTTGCTCTCCACCTTTAAGACATTAAGCACACTTTTCATATAACAGATAAGTCGACATAAATTATACATCACTTGCAACAACAAAATGTATGGCCTTCAAACATTTCATAAAAATAATTTGTTTGATAGAAAAACTTTACCGCGTAACAATAACTGAACCTGTTAGCTACGACTGGTTTTCCAATTAGCCGATCAGTGCTACGTTGGCACTATCTGCATACCCGATACAGCTAGCCCACTTCTATTTTCCATCAGGTAAAAGGTCATTTCCATGCGCTGGCGAATAGGACTCTTGCTTGATTAAAACGCGCTAAAAATAGTCCATTACATATCGCATCAACTTCTTTGCTTTACCTATCTTTATACAACCAATTCTATTTAACCTTTTTTTTAATTAGCTCCATATTGTACTCCCTGTTAGCCACAGCAGTTGAAATATCTTCTTCAGATGGCACAGAGACATTCGGATTCTCCTCAGCGGCATCCACCTGATCAATTAGCACATGAGCAGAACAAACGTCAGCAGAGTATATGCCAGAGTTTTCTAAACTGGCTGGATGGATGAATTTCTGGATGCATATATACAAGTATATTTAATTTAGGAAAGAAAAAACAAGTTTTGGGAATGTTTTGGCTTTACCAATTAACTTTGGGCAAAAGTGAGTGGAGTGGGTAATGAAACACTGATGGCAAAGTTATTGGTTTGTTGACTGAACATGCATTCATGAGAGCAATAGATGGTATGATAAATGGATAGATGGTTAAATTCTAAATGTAAGCAAGATGAGAAAGACTGTCGCATTTCCGTGGTATCTAAAATATGCAATAGCTAATTCAATACATCGCACCAGTGTACACACTTTTGTTACGCTGTGCATTACCTCCATGGGGGTTCTTGGGTGCCGTCCAAACCTTAAAAAAAGGGGGAGAACTTGGTTGAGGCTTGGACCTGAGATCTCAATGAGAAGGCCAAGTCATCTAAGAATACGTCCCAGTCGTCCTGCTTCTCACCGACTAGCTTTGCCAGACGAACCTTCATAGACTGGTTGATCCTCTCATACAACCCATTGCACTGAGGGTGGTATGCACTGCATGGTCACAGAACGAGCGATGTTCAAGGTGCATGCAAAGATGCAGATAAATACACAAATATCAAAGTTATTTACTCCTCGTTTATCTAAGCTGGAAAGACTTTCCACAATTAAACAAAAATGTAACATACTCGAATAATGTAACATACTTTTATAACATGGACATGTTAAATATCATGAAAGGTGTGACAGTAGAATCAAGGCTGTTGAAAGATTTAAGATAGCAAGCAGTAGAAAGGTAAATATGTGCATCTTACTAACAAACTCCCTTCCTTGGTCCGACAAAAGACGTTTAGAAGCACCCCGTTATCTGCAAAATAGTGGGAGGTGAGGAAAACGGTGATACAGTGTAGGCTATGGGGGCGGGAAACGGTGTGCAAGGGGGGTCTTTGATTTTTTCTGTCTGATCTTTGGTCAGACGATCCATTTTACAAATTTGCTTAAAATTATATACATTTAAGTCTCAATATTACACAAATATATAAGTTTGATGTCTCGGATATAAAGGAAAAGTACTGCATTTTAAAAATTAGGGGCTCAAAATTATGTTATCTGAATAAAAGGACTAACCCTTTTATTTAATCAACAAAATTTAGACACCAATTAATATAATTTTGTACTTTCTCAACATTTCCGACACCTAAAACAGATATTTGTGTAAAATGGATATTGATCTAATCATTTCAAGTAAATTTGAAAAATGGACCATAAAGATCAGTAACAGCAGATTTAACTGTTCTACGAACTAAATTTAGAAAGCTTGACTGGCGGTGCCATTTCACTTTCACCTACCGCGGTCGGGCCAAAATAATAACAATAGTTGCCTCTGAATTCAAGGCAATCAATTCAAGAATAAAGTAGTCTCACCTGGACACGAAGGTCTTGATGCATCTTGCAACTGCATGAATTCGATGTTTTGTCCAGTAGTGGAAAAAAGTCGTACAAACTTGGTGAAGTAGTCTGTGAAGGTGAGAATGTATTTTTTGCCGTCCTGGGTGACTGGTAGAGGACCTAGGTAATAAAGTGTGAGCGTATATCGGGCAATTGCGCGCATAATGGGCAAATCTATGGCATTGGCCGTATTACACCTCTGCTGAAAACTATGTGCCACTGTACAGCTACATATGTACCACTGTGTCACAGTGTACCAACAAGTGTTCAACAAGTGCCGCAGTGTGACAGGGCTCATCTGGTGTCTGGTGTTCTGCTGATAAATTCATAAAATAAACGTCTTATACGTAAGTCTTCTTTATTCTTGTTTGACTTTCGTAGCCAATTCGAACAAATATATAAGCTACACTTTTGCACCCACCTAATCTCTATGGGCTAATTCTAATAACAAGAACAATAATAACAATTCAAATACAAGTTAATGAATGACATTGACGTTGACATAAAAGATTTCAACATATGAGCATGGATCTCCAAATTTAATTAGAGGGGGTGAAGGGGGTCCTTCTCTCCCACCTCCCTCCCCACTGTGTCCCTCCTGCCTCTCACCTCCCTCCCCCTGCCTCCCACTTCACTCCCTTGCCTCTCACTTCCACTCCCTTACCTCCCATCTCCCTCCCCCTGCCTTCGACCTCCCTCCCCCTGCCTCCCACCTCTCATCCCCTTGCACACCATCTCGCACGACCTAATTATACCCCATTTCCCGCTCGCATATACACTGTATCACCGTTTCCCTGTCCCCGTCTCAATTTACTATACTCTCTCTCTCTCTTTATCTTAGACTTTCTCTCTCTCTTAATTATATAAATATATAATTATACTGCTTGTAAGGCTGGTGAGGTAAATGGAATGAACGGTTACAAATACATCGCAATAATATGCTGTTAATATGCTAGGACTCTATATGCTTTACATTGCACGGTCGTTCAATTGTCAGACATTGCGCGACGACATACCCCACCAGGAAAATCAGGACACAGAAATAATGCATACGGAAGAATACCCAATACTTCATCATTCACTAACCACATACTTCAGCACACGCAAAATGGTCGGTAAAAGGATAGAGAGTATGGCGAGATTGAGAACTATGTAGCGTAACAGATCGGCTTTGCTCTCCCAACCATGCTCTCTATCCTTGAGCCAAATGGTCCGTCAAGGCAGACATTAACATGAATTACAACAAATGAACACCATTTCTCAGCTTTGTGCAATATGGACTCAATGAACAGACAGCTATAATGAAATGTTACATATATACCACTCACAGTAACGTTATGATGCTGCTCATGCTGTGTGCAGATAGGCTAGTTCCCATTTCAGTTTGTCGTTCCAGTTGGCTTTCTAGACTAGTACCCGTTCGCCACCTTCACTCCGGCAAGTATCCTTCGCTACACTGTTACAAGTTAGTTAGTGTAGCGTGTGGAACTGTCGACCGGGTACGAGTTCTAGGTTATAGCCGGCCGAGCCGTCTGCCCAGAAAAGTGCTTACGCGAAAATGCTATGCCATATACCTCGTTGTACCATCTATCGCACGCCATATGTACTACACTGATGTGGGGGCCTCAACTAGTCGCTGGCGAGAAAAATTTCAACTTCGTTTTTTACAGCAAACCAAGCGCACCGAGTAGCGAACCAAGAATTACGACCATTTCTAGGAAATCTCTAGCTACGTGGGTAGTCAAACCCATCGTGCATTCGCCAGAACTGCTCAATTCAGCGATTGCCCAAGAATATTCTATATAGTGGACCCATTGAAATTGCTATTCAATGAGTGCAGCGTTGTGTTAGTGCCGCTACGCAGCATTTTTTGCGCTTCGCGCGACATCCGGGCTGCCGATTGTCTAGGCCTATATTTGCCGCGAGATGGCGCGTGCAAGTGTAATCAATAATCAAAGATGGCATCGCCCTTCTTGAGATCTATACCCTAACTAGCTCCCTGGGGAGTTGCTGAAATCCTACAGGCTAAAATCCAAGTAAGTATATTCAGGCAGGCGATAATTTTGCTCAGAGCTCTGTGAGATCATAGAAGAAAGAAGAGAGAAGATGGAAGATAGGAGAAAGAAGATAGACGATAGACGAGCGACGACAGAAGAAAGAGAGAAGATAGAAGAGAGAATTAAGAAAGAAGAACGAAGAGAGAAGGCAGAAGATAGAAGAAAAGAGAGCGAAGACAGGAGATAGAAGAAAGAAGAGAGACGACAGGAGATAGAAGAGAGAAGAGAGAGACGGCAGACGGACGAAGAGAGGACAGAAGGGAGAAAGCAGAAGAGAGAGGACAGAAGGGAGAAAGCAGAAGAGAGAGGACAGAAGGGAGAAAGCAGAAGAGATAAGAAAGAAGCGCGAAGATAGAGGAGAGAAGCCCGGAGAAAGAAGAGCGAAGAGAAGACAGAAGATAGAAGAAAGAAAAGAGAAGACTGAAGATAGAAGAAAGAAAAGAGAAGACAGAAGATAGAAGAAAAGAGGGCCCAAGGATAGAGAACATGGGTCCCAATAAAACCAATGTGCCTAACCCTAACCCTAACCATAACCCTAACCTATTATATTGATATAATATTATATTTATATTGATGTAAATGACATTGGTTTTATTGGGACCCATGTGCTCTATCCTTGAACCGAAAAGAGAGCGAAGACAGGAGATAGAAGAAAGAAGAGAGACGACAGGAAGATAGAGAGAAACCCGGAGAAAGAAGAGCAAAGAGTTGTACGTTATATATCTCGTGTTCTTGAGACATTAGGAATACAGATACCAAAGACTGTCTTACTTGTTACATAATATATTGTTCATATAAACTTGAATCACACAGACGCAGTTCCAACAGCGTGTACACTGTGGTACACTCTAGAGT